ATCCAATCAATCAACAGGGAAAGTCCCAGGTGAACATTAAATGTAAATCTAGTCCACTCCTCCCATGCGACTCACCTGAGGCGTAAAGCAGTAAGTGTTCATTGTCTTGATTTCACAACACAGACCTACCACCACCCACCATACCTAAAAACGTAGTTTATGTGAACAGTAGTCAAAACATGACAATGCATTGATTTCAAATGTCCAGCAGTTTCCATACAACGAAGGAAAGTCAGACGCATCTCGTGTAGAATAGGAATTACAGTGGATTTCAAGTCAGCCGACTGGTCATGCAAAAATTAAATAAAATAACACCCCATAGCCTTATGATTCCCCACCTTTCTGATTCCCCTGTATCATCATAAAATTCTAGACATATCTAATCACAGTTTAAAAGCCAAAAAGCACCTGGAGACAGAAAAGGTCTAACACTGTGTATTTTATTTTCTAATAAAGTCTTAATGATTTCATCAAAGTGTGTATTAATTAATGTGCAACATTAATGACTTTTAATATTCGTCTGACTGACCGGTTTCAATGTAGAACTACTTTGCACAGATGTGCACCAGCACTTCGAGTTGCCACACACTCCCTCCATGCAGCACACAAAGCAAGAGAAAAGATTAAACAGAGATTTGACACACGCACACACACACACACCCAGATAACAAACAGAAGTGTGAGGCAACAATAAGAGTAATATGGAAGAATAATAGACTTGCATTGCACATGATAAATCACAAAGAGTGAATGCATCTGCACCAGCCAGCCATCATCGAGGACGATTTTGAGCCATATCAACACCGATTGTCTCCAGCCTTCATTGATTTTTACCATCCCGAAGACCGTAACCACGAAGTCTACACATGCCTTTAACTAACTGTTGTGGATTTCGTCGGCTGATGAATCACTGTCATGGTTTGACCACCATTAGCTAACTCTTTCCCAGCCTGATCCTACCTGTGTCAGCTAACATTGGTCATCGATTGAGGAAGGCGATGTCTAGGCATGCATGAGTAACACATGTCATGACCACCTCAATCGATGTAACTGCTTCACAACCTCGTCGATTGATTTCCCCCTCCTTATCTAGCACACGACGCCTGACTTCAATATTGACTACCCTACTACACCAGTTGACACACCAGTAAGAACGCAGGCATTTTCATATCTCTCACTTTCAATGGCCATGTCTCACAGACATGAAGGAAGACAGAGAGAACTGCTGAGCAGTGAGAGATACTATGTCAAGAAAATACAGAATCTTAGCTAGTCTATAATAAACCATATTGATGGAATGTCTGAACTAGATCTCAAAGCAACTCAGGTTTTTAAGAGTGCAGTTCATACGTGTGTGCACGTGTCTATATGATGACTAGTGAGAGAAAAAAGACAACACTGTTGATAAACTTCAACAAGATACCTTGATATATACTGAAGAAGGGTGAAACGAACACTGAGTATTCTCAATGCCACGTGTCAGTCAAATGATAAACAAACCGTCAACTCACAGAAGTCCTGAGGGTGAAGAGAGGAAGAAGTAAGACAAGGCTGCCTGCTATCATCGACGATGACACCCTCGATTGTGGTGGACTGGATTACGTGACAGACTGTGCTTGAGGAGTGAGAAGACAGGAATACGTTGGACTAATAAGAAGATTCAAGAAGCTATGGACTACGAGAACGATTTATGTGTGCTATAATATCACACAAACTCGAAGACTCACAGGTATAAGCCACCGAGTTAGAAGAAAAGGACGTCAACAGAGACTGGAAGTCAAGTGAACATGGAGGTGATGAAGATGCCCGACAACCGACAACAACAACAACAACGGCAATAATAAGCAGTCATCACTATCAACGCGGGAAGTGTGAACGGCACTACTTCCTCATTTATGTAGTCGCCGTCGTTTCGACTACAGACATACACCACAAATGAGAACGTTAAAACCAGAATCGAAAAGACGAGACAGACATCCATCACTCTTAAATCAGTTTGCAAATCTTCTACACTCCACAGCATACACAACAACAATTGCAATTTGAACGACACTATTAAGTCAGTCAGTTCTTCTATATCGGTCAAACACTCGGTGTGTGCGTCACGAAAAGCATTTCCACCAGCCTGCTGCAGACATCTATCAACAGGTGTCTTCACCAGCTCCTCACGCAAGATCACATGGCCAGTGTGAAGCATAAGCGAGAAAAAATTCCGGGCACGAACCAACCAAGAACCTATTGCACAACCGACAAATATTCCGAAGGAGATGGGTCGCACACACACACTGAGGAGACCGTCGAATGAAAGCGCACGCCACACCACCGTTCTTGTGGAATTCGACGAATGGGAAACGACAAGCTGCGCTTACGTCTGATGGTCACATGGAGGAGATCGTGTGCAGAGGAGATGTGACACTATGGGGAATCGTGATTCCAGATGATGATGAGAACTGAATAGAAGAGGATGGAATGCAAATGTTCAATTGGAGCCCTCTATTTTCCACTTGGAATCCAAGGGAATAATAATATAAAAATAATTTATTCCTATTTAGCTTCATCGCAAATTGTTTCCATTCAGTTTTCCACCCTATTATTAGTAACGACATAATGTGTGATGAACAAAGTTCACTCTAACAAGTAGACTGGTGTGAAACAGAAATCCACAGACTCTCAGTAACCATCCAAGGGAGCTTCTGTTCCACTCGTTGACTCTATCTATTATAAACCAAGTTTCCGCTTAAGTTTCAATCAAAAGCCATTACATCTGAAGTGATTTCAGCTAGTTTTACCAACAACCGGTAGTAGCAGTAGCAGTAGTAGTAGTAGCGTGGCGTGTGCTACTGACAAGCCTTATCGGTAGTACATTAAGAAACGTCCATCGGCACAAAATTATGAAATAGCCGAGAGACAGATTTGGCATCAAAAAGAGAGAAAATGAACCAGTACTGAGCCAATGCATGGAAGACTCGAACAGAAGACCGAAAACGACACGAAAGAGGCAGTAATAGCACAACACTGAACACCTGTACAGCAAATGATGATTTTCATATAACGTGGTGTACATAGTTCCCCTATGTGTGTATATATAATTCCTAATAAACACACCGTTACCAAGTCTCTTGCCTTCCACCTTTACATTTGGTTTCGCTTCCTGCTGCTTTCCAAGAAGCAAGTATAAGGAGCTTCTTGCGGCTCTCCAGTGCAGTCACCGTGTTGGTAGGCATCACCATCTGACAACGAAGGTCGTTGTGCTGAGGTCGGGTGAAGGCGGTTTGAGGCACTGTCGAGTCGCCAGGTGATAAAGAAACCTGGAAGGTATTGGCTGAAAGACTGTTGGCGGAGTTCGACGAACAGACAGCTGGCAATGCAGCACTTCCATGACGCCAAGCTGGGACTCAACTGAGACCCATTCATCTTGACGGTGAATTTGGGGAATCTATTACTTCGCGCACTCCTCATATTGGTTAAAGACACCGTCTCAGTTATTGACTTACAAATTCACCGAGAGTCTTCCAAACTAATAATGATAACATAGATAAGAAAGAATATTAGGAATCTGTAGTTGTACCATGTTAGGAGGAGACATCTGACACCTTACGTAGGATTCCTAATAAAGCGGGGATTAGGGTGGCATTTAAATCCACAGACTCACTCAGATACGCCAAGCTCTGTAGGTTGAAGGACTCTGCAAATTGACCTAACCACACAAAATAATGTAATTTGCAAAATACCTTGCAATGACTGTGGAAAGGGCAACTACATAGATCGCCGCTAGAAAGATGTACAGACTTGTTAAGTACCAGACAAGCATTCTGAATCTATGCTGAGATTTCCTAGGTGATCACTTCACGTGAGCTGATGCAAGTCTCCAAATTAAGTGAAATATTCAACATACTTAGTTATTCCGCCTCCTAGCAAAAGAATCACAACAAGTACTGCATAAAATTACGCATTTAGCAGCATAACAATCAAAAATCAACAATTGAGTATGAGAAAAATATATATTGAAAAATGCTGAATGCATAAGATACAACAAAGATGTTTGTATTCGCAACCAGCATACACACAAGTGTCAGCGCCTCCTTTTGCGTGAACTGCCAACACCTACAGCGGGAGTGACTGCTGATTTACTCGGTTTTTGAACCACATCATCTGAAGTTGTAAGAATGTTAGCCCAGCGTACCGACTTTCTTATTCGTTTTCCATTAGAAGTATCTAAATGGAAAAATCATAGATGAAGTATGATTTCACACGAAAATAATTTGCATGCATCAACAGAGTATAGAAGATGCCTCAAATTACAATGGGTTTTCGTCTCATGGGTATATCTAGTAAAAATAAACAATCGATTGTGAAGTAAACCTAAGTTGTCAGACTGAAGTCTTCTGCTGCACCTTGCACATTATTGGAAGTGGAGACCTTTCGCCTAAATCTGCATCATAGGTTTGTGACTTTAATGAGACGATATTTCATGCTGACATGACCTCAAGATCCATCAAACTGTGATCCTCCTCAAAACATCCAACTACGGACATTAGTGGGTCATACTTTCAGTTGCAATTCACACCCACTTAAGCTTAAATAACCACACACACACACACACAAACACACCAGGAATGCATCTCACGACCGCTTTGTCGGATATACTATCAATTACATAGGAGAGACGACATTGACTACTTTCCAAGCAAATGCAAAAACATCACAATATTCATTAGAAGTGTCTCTCTCCAGTATTCATGATCAGTCCCTTAACTGATTTCATAGAAAGATCTAAATGCTGTTGTGACTTATGCGAAGTCTTGCAAATATTCCAATAAAAACTGTCTCCTAGTCTACGAAATTCACCCAAGAGAATGATAACTCACATTCTCGAAAATTCCCATCTTCCTACTTTATATATATACGTATATATCGCCTTAAGAATAGCTGGCGTTTTGTCACATAAATACCAGAAATATGACTGGAGTGTTAGTCGTAATATAGGGCTGATACCTTACCTAAAATTGAAGATTTCCGTGTAGCTGTATCGCTTCGGTGAATAACACGGGGAAACGGCAATTCCTTCAATGAATCAAACTCCTCCGGTAGACTAAATTCTTGCATTTTACCTTGAAAAGGGTTCCCTTCAGATTCATGCTTCACAGAAACGTTTCAATATTTTAAGAAATAGAAATTACCAGTTCTTCCATATTGAAAAGTGTATCCAGTTTCTTCCAAATATCATCAGGAGTTACTGGTTCACGAAGAACTGAATTCAGGTGATTGCACAAACACATCATTTTGAAGTGGCGAAATACCCCAACGGGTTTGTGCTTAATTAATCCTCGGAAAAGTTCAATTTCCGATTCACAGGTCCATTCATATGAATCGGTCCTGTCAGTAGCCATGTGTATTCAATTCTAGGGCACTGAAAATCCAATAATCAAAATTAAAAGTATTAGAAGTAGGCGAATCGCAAGAGGCTTATATAAGAAATACTACAGAAATATTTCTCTCTTGGCCGACCAGCTTATCAGGAAGAACACGAGTGAAGCAATGAGACCAGAAATACTAATCGCAATACCCACAGAAACGATGTGTGATTTTACTAAATGAAGCAAGTTGATAGTCACAGAACTGCAAGGTGACTTAATGTCAGTAAAACGTTTGATCAAATATAGTATAACTATATTTCAATGGTTTACACACAATGATGAGTTTTGTTATCGCTAATATTTTGAGCAAAATTACTGCCCGTCTTCACAACACTGTTGGAATTGTTTTGGTTTTTTATTCACACATTTATGATTTGTACTCACATATATAGTTCTTTTATTTTGTTCATTCATTTTTGTGAATTCAGAATTGTATTCCAGGTTGTTGACAGTTGTACTGAGTCACCCTTGTTACATGTATCCGGTGTGACCTTAATCAATTTGATTGTGTTATAAGTCTCTCTTTCCATTTGTTCATATTACTTTTTTAGAATACAAACATTGTTCCAATCGATATTGTGGTTTTTGTCCCATTCATGTGCAGCACAACGTTTAAACCGATGAATCTAATTGCAAATAAAATAAATCAACTGAAAGATCCCATAAAAATGATGGATAAAAAAAATGTGATCCACAAAATATCTTGTGCCGAGTGTCGGACTAAATGTGTGGGTCAAACGTCCAGATTACTCAAAATAAGAGTGAATGAACATAAACGCCTAACTAAAGGTCAACTAACACGAACGTTGTGCTGCACATGAATGGGACAAAACCACAATATCGATTGGAACAATGTTTGTATTCTAAAAACTAATATGAACAAATGGAAAGAGAGACTTATAACACAATCTAATTGTGTATATGTAAGTTCAAATGTTCCTATGAAGCTGACTACCTCAAATGTACAATAAAGAGTCTCCAAACCCTGCAAACATCACCATTCTACATGGTTAAGCATCAGAGTGAAAACAACACTTGGAAGCCCCATACACACCGACCTGCAGTGTTTATTTATCTGCAGACAGCAGGAGCAAGCTAGGCCATACAGTTGAAAATTCGCCTACATATCCAAAATAATAATTTCTTTTCCATTGACAATATAAAAAAATATCACTTTCAAAGAACAAGATCGTGCATAGATAGCCTCAACCATTTAGCTAGAACCTAGTGACCAGGATTCTTTCATGAGCTACACGACGTGTGCGAACTATTGGCACTACTCAGTCTCCCAGAATGAAGTGCACCGGCACTCGAGGCCAGAAGCTAATGACTGAAAGTAAACTGCTGACGTCAATGAGCTTCATTTTCATCTTTATCTACCCGCAAGCTTCAAGTGGCCTAAAGGTCAAATAGTGTACCGTTCTGACAATCATTGTCTCACGAATTTTTTGCTCTCAATGTCACCAAAAGAAAAGTCGGTTAAAGAGGGAATTGAGGACTAGACACTTGATTAAATTGGCCTTGAAAAGTGATCTGCCAGTGATTTCACAGCTGGTTAATCATCTCCATCAAAAAATGATAGATTTCGGCTTGATAGAAGACAAGAGGCATTCAAAAGATGCCATGGATGCTCAATGGTCGGATGATGAAACGTTACAATTAAAATTAGACTTCGAAGATGCCTATCATTTATGGACAGTGAGGCGAACCAAAAGCTCTTCTGAAAGATGTCACAATCTCCATAGAAATCACCTACATAGTAAATGGGAGGAGAAAATAAAACTGTGTAATCATTTAGAAATTCCAGCAGTTAATAATAAAGCAGCCTGTAAGAAACTATTGAATAAATTGAAGTATGATGAAAGCCGCAAACTTACATCGTCCTCTTAGCCTTCAGTCCTATTCATCTATTATGCACCACCGTGCTTTATCACCAATAGACCAGATTACCAGCATCAGGATGGGAATGTCCTTAATACTCGTATTCATGTTAATTGCCGAAGGAACAACGATGAAAGACCACAGAAAACGGAACCCACTCTTCCTCTTATCAGCTGTTGTATCCCATGTAATAGATAGACGCACCTAATAATAGATTGATGGCCTATCAATACATGAAACATATCGAAGAACTAGTTCCTCATAATTATCATAGTGGTGAATAACATGTATGACTACTCATCTCACCACTATTCTCCATTCCTTTATGTATATTGCTGTTGGTTACTCTTGTCTGTTATCATCTTTTCTTCTCAGGTTATTATGCATTCCTGGACTACTAGTTTTTGAGAGAACAATTAATAAAGACAGATTTCTCTGTGTGCTAAACAAACATGAAATAAAACGGACAAAACAAATACAAACAAGTATACATGTAGAAGGGTATTCAGTCCACATGAATCAGTATACACATAGAATGCAGTCATTTGAAAAGCTGTAATTGTACCAAAATACTCAAATGTATATAGACGTACAGAATGGTAGGGAAGAAATAGTTCGTTTCCTGGGTACACAGAAGCTCACTACACGTAAGAGATGCGAAGGGCCGGAGAGCACGTGCGGAGAGAAACGTAGATGATAGCGATTTACTGATCAGCAACGAGGCAGAACTGTTTGACAGATACGAAAGGTGATAGGCTGCAGTGGCAGCAATTGTCGTCTGTATTTTGCGCGGGACTATGCACTGTCCTTGTCCAATATAGCTAAACAACCATGAATTTACGTGAATTCACTCTTCTCACTGTTTCATAGTGAACTTAAAATTCGATATTTTCCGATCACCGTACTCCTCCTTCTCTTAGAATTTTCGAGAGACTAGCGGAACTGTTGTTTTCTCTGCTACTGACGATGAGAAGTACAATTGTGATAATAAATTTCATTATAATGATACATAGCACTATGAGAATACAGAGTAAGAAGGGGTTCAACGCTTTTGTGATTAGTTTGACACAATTTTCTGAACTGGAAGTGGATGATAATTCAATGAATATATATATATAATATTACAGAGAGTGAACACACACACAGAAAAAATATTTGTATAAATAAACACAGATTTGTATACGTCAGCTCTGTAGATAACACATATCCAATATCCTGATTACGAGCTAGTATAAACCAGTGATTTCTTTGAGCTCGCTTCTTGGTTGTAAGGTACAGGTTCCAGAACTTATGCGTAGTAAATCCCGCCACTCGACTGCTTTAGCTCTGGTAGACTCCAAGAAGAGTGGTGCGAGGATTGGTCAAGATTGTGGTTTGTAGTGTGCAGTATGTTAGGACTCAGCTGCTGCCGTGAATGGAGTTTGAAATAACACCCGTTGGTCATTTGGTGTAGTCATAAAAGTAGAATAATAATAATAATAGGTTGTAGTGTAGACAATATAGGTTGAGATAAGTGAAATAATAAAGGTGAAATAATAAAGAAAGAAAGAAAAGATAGAGTAGTCGGTACAGTGGGAGAAGACAGGACGGGTCGTGGGGATTTAGCTTGTATGCTTATCCATTGACAATGTGGTTTCAAATTTTAAGAGGGTAAGCCATCGAGACACAAACCATGCATTTCTACATGATTGTCCAGCTTCCGCTTAAAAGTCTCCACAGATGGATCTGTAGTTACGGCCGCCGGTAAAGCGTTCCAGATACGGCAAACTCGAAGCGAGAAGAAATGTGAATGCACTCGAGTCTTTGGTCTCTGGTGTGCTATCCTTAGCGGGTTATCTCGTGGAAGCCCATAACCACTTAATGGCAGGATGCTCTTATTAGGGTGGGCCTGGTCATTTAAGATCTTATAGACGGTGATGAGGTCTCCCCTGTGACTACGGTAACTAAGTGTGAAAAGACTTAATTTCTTCGGTCTTTCCTCATATGATTTGTTGCGGAGGCCGATCACCCATTTTGTCGCTCGTCTCTGGACACTTTCTAGCATGTTAGCATGCCTTTTGAGTAGCGGAGAAGCAATGATATTATGCACCTCAAGGAGTGGCCTCACGTATGTCGTATACAACGTTAAGAATAGTTCAGGAGTAAGAACTCCCAGCTGCCTATGCATAAAGTGTAAAGTAGCGTAAGCTTTGGCGACGTCCCTCGTGTAATTTACCCTGGTGTCTAGCTTTTCTGTTAAAATAAGGCCTAGGTCGCGTTCTGATGGCACACAACTCAAGTTCTGGCCACCAAGGGTGTACTCTGTGACCTGCCGGAATGAAGTTGCACTACTTTGCACTTCTTTAAGTTGAAAGGCATTCCGTTAGCCAGAGCCCAGTCTCCCAGAGTTTGTAGGTCAGCCTGCAATCTGTTGGAGTCTTCCGATGAGTTTATTGCTCTCCAAATCTTTACGTCATCAGCGTAAAGAAGTGCAGAGCAGCTCAGTTGACAGGGCAGGTCGTTGATAAAAATCAAAAACATCAACGGCCCTAAGATAGAACCCTGAGGAACCCCTGATGCCGAGGTGTGCCAGGATGATCGGATGTGGTTGACTTTGGTGCAGAATTCTCTCTCGCCTAAATAATCTTCCAGCCATGCGAGAAGTGCTCCAGAAACACCCGCTTTGCTTATTTTGTGAGGGAGCAGACCATGGTGAACTGTGTCGAATGCTTTCGCAAATTCGAGAAAGATCACATGGACTGGTGCCTTTACGTCCCAGGATAGTGTCCAATCGTTCCAAGCTAGTAGAAGATTCGTCAAACAGGATCTTCCTCTCCTGAAACCGTGCTGTGCTTCATGGAGTAGGTTAGTCCCGTCGAAGTATTTTCTCATTTGGTCGTCAATGAGACTTTCCAATATCTTCGATATCACTGGGAGTAGCGCAACTGGTCTGTAACTGGTCGCGTTCTGCCGGTCACCACCCTTGAAGATAGGGGATAGGATGGCTCGTTTCCATTCACATGGAAGTTTCCCTACATCAAAGGAGTGTTGAAACAGATCACTTAGGGGTTGGCAGAGACTTTCTGAACACTGCTTCAGGACGGATGGTCTTATGTCATCGCAACCTGCAGACTTTCCCGAAGACAACTTTCCCAATTTTACGAGTACCATAGCCGGGGTAATTTGAAATGTACCCAGCAGGTCTTCGCACGTTGGTCTTGCATTGTAATCTTGATGTTTTGTGGGGGTAAAATCCTCATTACTGTTCAGTTGCCTGCGAAAGGCTAGACTGAATGTCTCTGCCATTTCAAGACTAGTCAGAGATTTCCCATCAGGACCCACTAGATTGCAAGCTCCCCGATCGGTCGGTTTTCTTTCAGACATAAACCTGTATAGGCTTTTGGGGTTAACGAGAAGCTTATTGGCGAGGTTTCTCTGAAATGTCCTTCTATCACTCCGGACTCGTATGTTACATCGATTCCTGAGTTCGAGGTACACTTCATGTTCGGGTTGACTCTTCGATACTCGCCACGCAAACCAGGCTTTTCGCTTCGCCTGTAGAAGGCGTTGTGTCCCCCTTTTTAGCCATGAACGTTGCTTTCTAGCTTTAGGTGTGACTAAAGGAACAGTGTCTGAGACCGCCTGGTGAATGACCTCCTTTACCACTCCCCAGTGTTCCTCCACTGTATGCTCTGTCCAATTTTTTGGCCAATTTGCTTCAGACAAAAGTCTTCGCACTTCGGTGTAATTGGCTTTGTTATAACACAGATAGGGCTGTGCATTGTCCCACTGTAAACGCTCGCGGAGGACTATGTCGAATGTTATGACCGCTTGGTCACTACTACCTATGGGAGTCGTGATCTGAACGTTTTCCACTAGTAGCTGGTCACTAGTGAAAATTCTCTGGCGGTACGTTCGAAATTGGTGACATTTTTGCACGTGTTTGCTCTGATATTCATCTACTGCTTATAGTCATATAATCCCTGAAATTATGGTCCAAATTTCTAAAAAACGTGTTCGTAGAAACACAGTTGTTTTAGATAGTGCCTCAACCTCGGTTATAACTGCATTACCACACTGTAATACAGCATTAACTACTAGCTCACAAAATGGCTTGAGTGCAATTCTCACTCCTGTGATGCAGATGAAAGATGTTCTGTTAGAGAACTCTGAGATCCGTAAATTAGACCTCCTTGTGAAAGATATCCAAAGTCAAGTAAATGAACTTCAGAAAAAATTAGGTCAGTTTGATAGAATGTCACTGCCAATGTCAAATATCACGGAGAGCAGTTCTGATATTGGCCAGGTTAAGTCTTTACTGGATGTCACTCAAAGCAAGCTTTCGGATTTAGACCCAATAGCCTGTCTGTTAAGAAAGCATCCTAAAATGTCTCCAGACACCCTAAATAAGGCTGAAAATCTGATTGACTGCTTGGCTGCGGAGGTGATGAAGCGTATAACCTCTTCTCACCAGGCTATAGTTTACAATGTCCCAGATTCTCTTCCTCTGAAGACTGTAAAACACAAAATCCTGATTTGTTGCGGCATGGCCAATGTTCCATGTGAATGCAAAAGACTTCGTAAAAAGTCTAACCAGGCTAACTGTCCCATTATTTTTAAGTTCAGTAATTCCCTTGATTCTAGTAAGTTTATTAAATGCCAGGATCACCTAAGACTGAACAGTAGTTATAAGTCTATAACCATAGCTCAGGATAAAACACCTTGTCAGCGCAGAATAATGCGTAGTAATAACCTGGCCACCTCCTCTAGCTTAGAATTACCCAAAAACGATCGTGCACAACAACAGTCACCTAATGCTGACATTAGCATTCAGCAAACCACACAACAACCACGCATGGCAATGGAACTAGGAACTGATTTAGATACCAGTACCCCTGTAAATGACATCTCACCGAAAGATGTTAAAATAGGTAGAACTGCTGCAAGCTGTTCTAAGAAATTCTTACCCAAACGTGGTGACCTCACCACAATGAACAAATTTCGCCGGGTTGAGACTAATGATGGGGAAGAATACTTTGTATTCAATAAGCTTGCTGAGAGTAAGACTGTGAAAAAACCCTCACCTCTTACGAAAAGTTCCTCTCGAAACACAAGTATATCTGGTGGTTTTCTCCCACCTGTGGGGCAGAGCACAATCAGCTACTGCTCAGCACTATCACAGGGATACGAGACTTCGGCTATGACCAAATCACCATTGCTGGAGATTTCAATGCCCCATCACTGAACCTTGGCTCGGGGTATGCTAAGGGAAAATTCGGCCGAAATCTACTGCAAGCTATTCGGAACACGGGGCTGACTGAGAACGTTGGGGACGGCACTAGGTGGGGCCCTAGTGGAAAGTCATCAAAACTAGACTACATTCTAACTAGTGACCAACTACTCGTCGAAAAGGTCCAGGTCATGACTCCTCTAGGAAGTAGTGACCATGCAGTCATAGGTTTCGACCTCGTTCTCCGTGAGCACTTGCAGTGGGACGCTACGCAACCATGTCTGCGTTATAGCAAGGCTGACTATGCTGATATGCGGAGGCCCTAGTCCGATGCAGGCTGGCCCTTAGCATGGGATGAGCTGTCTGTGGATGAACACTGGGAAGCGGTAAAAGAGATTATTCGTACAGCGATCTCGGATACCGTCCCTTTAGTCACAGCACAGCCCAAAAGAAAATCATCATGGTTAAAGGGAGGCACGCAGCGTA